AGGAAAATATTAGCCCAAGAGACAAAAGCGGTCAGATAAACCAAAGACTCCATCAGCCTGAGACTAGAAGAAGTAGGTGGTGCCCGGCTACCACCAGTGACTGCCCTGACAGGGAACACGAGAGAGAGTCCCTGACGGAGCAGGAGAAAAGTTGGGTGCAGAACTCAAATTCTAGTAAAAAAACCAGACTTAATGGTCTCACTGAAACTGGAGGGACCCCAGAAGACATGTCCCCCGGACTCTCTGTTAACCCAGAACTAAAACCATTCCCAAAGCCAACTCTTCAGACAAAGAATAGACTGGACTGTAAGATATAAAATGATACTCACGAGGAGTGTCTTTCTTAGTTCAAGTAGATACACGAGACTAAATTGGGCAGCTCCTGTCCAGAGGCAAGATGAGAGGGCAGAAAGACTGAATGGACACAGGAAATCCGGGGTGGAAAGGAAGAATGTGCGGTCACATTATAGGGATGGCAACTAGGGTCACATAACTGTGTGTGTATAAGTTTTTGTATGAGAAACTAACTTGAGCTGTAAACTTTCACCTAAAGCACAATAAATTAAAAAAAGAGGGGAAAAAAAAAAAGAAAAGCATAATGCTTAAGGCAGACATTCTTTGGTAGTTGTCCTAAATTATTGTTTGGTTTTAAGAAGACTTCAGGGGATATATTCGGTTTACAGTTTGAAGATTATCTCAGGGCAATAGTTTCAGGGGTTCATCCACCCTCCATGCCTCCAGAAATTCTGGATTCCATGAGAATTTAAAATTCTGTGTTTTCCTCCTTTTTTTAAATCAGGATTTTTTTTTTATTGTTCTTTAGATGAAGGTTTACAGAACAAACAGGTTTTCATTGAACAGTAAACCTGTTGTTTTATGACAGTGGTTAACAATTCCATGACATATCAACCTGTTGTTTTATGACAGTGGTTAACAATTCCATGACATATCAACACTGTCCCTTCTCAACCTTGGGTTCCCTATTACCAGCTTTCCTGTCCCCTCCGTATCAGGATTCTTCTATAAAATCTTTTGATCAAAATGTTCATCTACTGCTACCTTTTTATAGAGCATCTTGTTGGTGCTTTATATGATGCTAATTCTATCACAAAGAATTACTACAAAATTGTGGGGTTATTTTTCTAAGTTTAAAAAAATGTTTAGAAGGCACTTGCTATGCAGCTCCACCAGTGATCCCTTCCATTGATACTATTCTTGTCTAAATTTAATTAAAAAACATAAAAACAGTTGCATTGCTTCCAACTCATGGTGACCCCAGGTGTGTCCGAGTAGAACTGTGTTCCATAGAGTTTTCAATGGCTAATTTTTCTAAAGTAGATCACCAGGCCTTTCTTTGAGGTACCTCTGGGTGGACACAAACCTCCAAGCTTTTGGTTAGTAGCTGAACAGATTAACTGTTTGTACTACCCATTGTTGTTGTTAGGTGCCATCAAGTCAGTTCCGACTCATAGCCACACTGTGTACAACTGAACAAAACACTGCCCAGTTCTTCACCATCCTCACAATTGTTGCTATGCCTGAGCCCATTGTACTACCTAGGGACTCCATTTAATACCAAAAAAAGCCTCAAACCCATTGCCATTGAGTCAATTCTAACTCATAGTGACCCTATAGGACAGCATAGAACTGCCCCATAGGGTTTCCAAGGAGCGGCTGGTGATTTGAACTGACGACTTTTTGGTTAGCAGCCGAATGCTTAACCACTGCGCCACTAGGGCTCAGGCTCAATATTTAATATAACTGATATATCTGTTACCAAGATTAAACGTGTTTATTTTTTAAGATGATCCTCACATATTCCTCCTAAAAAAGAATCAAGTCTGATGTACAAACAGTTCCAACTACTGACCATGTTCTTATAAGGTGTCTGATTTTTCCTTTACTGTCACTGTATAGAGCAGAGAGGGGCACTCAGTATATCTAGCCATGTAAAAGTAAAGATGGTGGAAATAATCCCATTATGCTCCCTCTCCAGAGACCAAGGAGGAATTAGGAGAGTGGTATAGAAGAGTTTCCTTTTTGGAACCTATTATCCCAAACTAGTAGAAACTAAACATTCCATACTCCCTCCAGTTCTTCCTCTTCTTATTTTTACAGTAGCATTGACGGACACAAGCTCAGGAAGGGAAAGTGTTACACACTGATACAACAAAAGCAGCTGACAAAAAGATGGCTTTTACTCACAATATTTTAATCATTTTAAATAAGTTTATTTTGATATTACGTTTCACATTTGTTAAAAGTGAGATTCCTGAATGCTACACCAGCTTAACTCTGTGAAAAAGGTTTCCTCACAATGTGCTTGTGGTGCATTAAGTTTATTTTCACTAAGGATCGACTGTTAAGTAGAAAAGGGAGGCACACAGGCAAATACAAGGAATGAAGGAGGTGCTTTTTAATTGTGGTTACCAGGGCTTACTTACCTTGAGCCAGGCTCACTCTGGTGGCAAATACATTTGTTTTAAAGTTTTACCTGTTTTTTCTATTCTGCTTCATGGATGCAGCTGCGTTCTTTTTTGTCCTTAGCACCTTCGTAATTCATTGCCACATAAATATTTTCTAGCCAGTTAAGCCCTGTAGCAAAGTTTCCTTTATTCTTTTTCAGTACCCAGGTCCCCACTCTATCCTTGGAATTCTACAGCAAAGCTCTCTCCCAGTGACTCCTGGGAAACAAAGTTCAATGTTGCAGCTTCTCCTAATAGCCACTGTCATCTTTTCTTTTCCAAGAAAACATACTAATCAAAAAGTAAACAGTTACTCCATGGTAAGTTTGAGAAACTCATAACCAGGAATCCTGCACACTCCCTTTTCTATCAGTATTTTCAGACTGGGGATGTGTACACATGTGCTTACAAATACACCCACAGAGAGATGGAAAAGATTGGGAGAGGGTAATACACATGGACCCTGAACTGTTTTCTTCTAACTGCAAGATATGAAGAAATCTCAGGACCTCTCTTTCGAGACTGCTTTTCCCTTCTTCCTGCTGGGTTCAACCTATGTAAGGGCAAGCTGCCATTCTAACAGGGCAATCAAGTTTCATCACATATTACCTTGCAACATTTCCTGATGAAGGCATTTTGGTTTCCCCAAAGCATTGATGGTTTGCTGGCATTAGAGAGAACAATGACCCTTTGGGGTAAAGAGTGCTTCAACTTTTCTAGTTCCAGAATCCCTTTTGCTTAGTCCTATGAAACTTTGATGTGTGAATACTCTTAGGATTTCTGGAGCTTGTGTTTTTAGTACAGTTGTACCTGGAATCATCTGAAGATATGACTCTCTCCAGACATTCTTCTTTTCAGTCTAACCTCTAAGAGTATTTCTTCTGCTCCTGAGGTTCACCCTTCAGCCAAAGATTAGACAGGCCCATAAAACAAAACAAGACTAAATGCGCACACCAACCCAGAGGCAAGGACAAGAAGGCAGGAGGGGACAGGAAAGCTGGTAACAGGGAACCCAACGTTGAGAAGGGGAGAGTGCTGACATGTCGTGGAGTTGGCAACCAATGTCACAAAACAATATGTGTACTAACTGTTTAATGAGAAACTAATTTGCTCTGTAAACCTTCATCTAAAGTACAATAAAAAAAGAAAGAAAAAAGTATTTCACCTGCACATTGCAGTAGTCTTTCCACAGACTCTGAACCTGGACCTAAAACAATTGTCTCACCAATAAAGAGATGCTCCATTCTCACTTTCTGCAATTTCCTCACCTCAGAGGACAGAAAAACACATCTGAATAAAGGTGTGGAAATTAATTTTATTTCCCCCAAATAAATTCATTTCCCTTATGACAAGGTATAGAATGGCATATGTGAATGATGAGAAAACCTATATTTAGTTTATCCCATAAAGCTCGAGAAATGGAACCACTTTACTCTCCCTTTAGATGACTTAAATATCATGACTCTTTTTTAACTACCATGAACACTAATCCCTTAGTTGAAGTCAATCGACATTTACTGAGTGTGCAAATAGCAGTGACCATTTTACATTTAGGAAAACAGGCATGGCAAAGTAATGGTCTTTTCCCTGGTTCACAAACTGACCAAGTAACAGAGCCGAAGACAACACAAAAGACTATCTTAAGCCCCACTGGGATTCAACTACCTCCATAGAACCTCACTGCATCTGGCTCAATGCAGAGGAAGACCTTGGCCCAGTGCCCACTTCCCTTCAAGTGATTTAATAAAATATCATGACCTTTATTTAACTACGAGGCCTGATGGCATATTGGTTAAGCGTTTGGCTGCTAACCAAAAAGTCGGCAGTTTGAATCCACCAACTTCTCCTTAGAAACCCTATGGGGGCAGTTCTACTCTGTCTTATAGGGTTGCTGTGAGTCAGAATCGACTCAATGGCAATGGGTTTGGTTTACAGGTTTTATTTAACTACTGTCATGGATTGAACTGTGTCCCCAAAAAACAAGTGTCAACTTGGCTAGGCCATGATTCCCAGTATTGTGTGGTTGTCCTCCATTTTGTGATCTGATTATCCTGCATTTTGTGATGTGTTGTAAATCCTAGCCTCTATGCCTGTGGTTATGGTCCATTTGGGAGTGAGCTGTCCATTATGTTAATGAGACAGGATTAGGTCATGTTAATGAGGATTAGGGTGGGATGTAACACCCTTACTCGGGTCATAACCCTGATCCATGTAAAGGGAATTTCTCTAGGGTGTGGTTTGCATCACCTTTTATCTTATAAGAGATAAAAGGAGAGAGAAGTGAGCAGAGAGAGGGACCTCATTACCATCAAGAAAAAAGAGCCAGGAGTGGAGTGTGTCCTTTGGACCCAGGGTCCCTACGCTGAGAATCTCCTAGACCCAGGGGAAGATTGATGCCAAGAAACATGGAGATCTCCAAGGAATGTTGGGCCCACAGATGTTGAAAGGAGAGAAGGACCTTCCCCTAGAGCAGACAAAGAAAGCAAGCCTTCCCCTAGAGCTGGCACCCTGAATTTGGACTTCTAGCCTCCTGAACTGAGAGAATAAATTTGTTTGTTAAAGCCATCCACTTGTGGTATTTCTGTTATAGCAGTACTAGATAACTAAGACAACTACCATGTACAAGATAATTATTTGTACAAGAATTTAAAAATGCTATGCTGTACTATTCTAATTCTATAAAGTATAAAGTAACTTAGTATTGACTTGAGATTTCTTACATATTGTCAATACCAAAATAAAATTTTTAACCAAAATTACACCAGGCATATTTTGATAGTTAGTGTAAACCCAGCAGTATAAGCCACATGCCAGAAGAGGTTTGCTTCCAAGGTCTAAGCAGAAAATGGGTAAACAAAGGCCTACATAAAAATTAATGCCTCCATCTTCCCACTGATTTTGACAGTTGACATCTAATCAGCTTTTCTTCTCAAACTGACATTTTTGATGGTCCATTAGTAAGAACTTTGGTTAACATCGCTGGTAGAGGTGTCTCCTGGTAGGATTACCTTCTGCTGTGCCTTTTGACTCTGGCCTGGAAATAGCCTTTGTCACCTCCCCTTTATCAGTCAATCTCTGGTATGCCCCTCAGGGATACTCAGGAGAGATGTAGGTGGCTTGATCTGGGCTAAGCAGGCAAGGAAGAACAGCTCTGTTTTTCCAACCACTCCTTAATCAACTGATGGGCGATGGCTAACTTGGGGGGCAACCAGAATGGGAAAGTCCCATCCTGTTGTTGGGTATAGGGGCCCTTTCTCTTCAGGGCTGTGGCAACCTCATCATGACTGAACCAGGCAGCTGCCTCCAGTTCTCTCAAGTTCATCTGGATCTGAAAGATATAAGGAGGAACAAGATGTGAGGTTAGGAGCTACAAAAGTTAGAATACTATGGCAACATCTAAGTCCCTTTCAAGGAGAAGTTCCTATGATTTTATATTTGTACTCAAATCCTGACTGACTTGAGCAATAAGGCCAATCCTGAAATCAATCATTAATTTTGCTATATTTATTATATGCCTACTATATGCAAGGCACTTTGTCAAATCCTGATAATGAAAGATAAATTATCTCACGACTGAGATATGTACAAGGGAGAAGGCTGGTAACGTTGGCCGACTCAATTTTCATAGTGATTATTTGTTTCGTTTACTAGACTGCAAGTTCCTTGAGGGTCCAAATCATATACTTTACAGCTTTGTGCAAACTAGACGGTGCTGAGCTAGACAGGTACGTGCTGACTAGCAGAATGGATGAAGCAAAGGAAATATCACAGCATAAGGAAAGCGTAAGAACTTACCTCTGTCTGCCCTGGTTTCACAGTTGCATGACAAGCAATCATGAGTGAGCTATTAGGAACGGGCCAGTGCTGGGATGCAGAATACTGCAGTCTGTCCAACTCCAATCCCACCTCTTCTGCAACTTCGCGCCGGACAGCTTCTTCTAGACTTTCACCTACAAGCACTCAGATTAATTCAGGACAGCCCTGCAGCAGGAAGGGTGATACAGATAGCCCATTTGCAAAGGAGCACAAAGCTGGCTCCAAAGTTTCAATGACATACTTTGGGGAGCACCCTAAATCTCTGAATCGCTACAACAATAGGAATCAGGTCTGGAGTTGGGTGGTGAACTGCAGTGCTTACACCTACTAGGTTTGTTATGATGCAAAGTAGGAGTGACAGTGGGAGAAGCTACTGCTGCCTTCAGCTTCAATAAAGTTCTAATGCCACATTTCCCCATATGCAAATTTTACTCCAAAGACAAAAAAGAAAGCAACCGAACAAAAAAATCAATGTGCACAAATATTAAATTCTAGTTATTATTATACATACTAAAGTATTTAGGGAGAAGTATACTAATAATTGCAGTCTATACATAAAAAAATAGGATGGATTGCTGGATGGGTAGAGGAATGGATAGATGGACAGGTACGTGATAAAGTAACTACAGTAAAAAATGGTAGTATCTAGGTGGTGGGTATAGGGGTGTTCACTGTATAATTCTTTCAACTTGCTGTATGCTTGAAAATTTGCCTAATAAAATATTGGAAAATTGTAACACCAGAAGGCAGTTTTCTTGACATGATAAAGAATGTGCTTGAGACCCCAGGTACTATGACAAGACAGATTTATCTACTATAAGTTTTCATGTCCTACAATGTCACCTGCACATGCCCCAGACTCCTTACCTATATCACAGAAACCTGACAAGGCAGAATACATTCCCTTGGGAAAGGAACTCTGGCGGGCAAGCAGGCATCGGGTCCCATCCGACACCAGGGTGATCACCACAGGAGCCATCTGGAGAAAACGGGATGGAAATGAGACACTGGGGCTTTGGGAGTTTGGAGGATGAAGGAATGGACAATTAAAGAAAGCTTTTTAATTGCACAAGCTTCCTTTTCCAGGACAGAGTAATATCCAGCCTTCAAGGATTACTGTCCTTTTAAAAGCAGTGCTTACCTGTGGGTAATAGATGATCTTATTGGAAGGGCACACACGCTTGCTGCCAGCCACATTCTTCTTGGTGAGCTGCCCACTTCTGCTGCAGAATTGATGGGCATCATGCCAACGGAGAAGAGCCTGAGCCTAGGAATGCAAAGATGGGCCTGGTTTTATTTGGAAAGAATGCAGGGCTAATCTACAACAGCACTGAGCCTAGTACCTTCAGCAACTCACATGGGAAATGCCCTTTCATTTCTACCTCACCTTCCTTTCATGGTTACTAACTGTTTAAACTTCAAGATAAGGAATCTGTGTGAACATGTTCCTTCAGTATCAGAAGTCTGAACAAAAGAGAGCATATTTTTCATGTATTATAAATACTTAACACAGACAAAATATACGAAGTAATACAATGAACATTCATGTACTTACTAGCCGGTATAAAAATAAAACATTTCCAATATGGTTGAACCCTCCCACCCCCACATACTCCTTCCCAGTAAAGCTGGAGTTTTTTTGCAACTAAAAAATGTTTAGAGCTATCTTTTTATTGTACCAAAATACGTGTAACATAAAATTCACCATTTTAACCATTTTTAAGGGTACATTCCAGGGGTATTAATTACATTCACAATGTTGTTAGAGCTATCTTTGTAAATTAAATAGACCATCAAAAGCACTTTAGCAAGTGAAATAAAAAGTTGTGAGGAAAAGTCATTAAAATAATGTAAAACAACTTCTCATAGGAAAAACATGACGGTGTGTGTATCATTCTATGGGGTCATTAAAAACATCTATGGGTCTGATACATCCTACAGCCGTAGATCTGCATGTCCTTAGGAGAAAATGTTCTTGACATAAGTAATCTCCCTACAGCACACTATCTTTCTGCCAAGGTTGTAGGGAAGACGATGATTTCAGTCAAACGTCACTCCAGCCTCGTGTGTGCGTGCATTCGCCCATATACACTGTTTTACTAAATCTTGTATAGAATTGAGGAATTACCGTGGACAGCAAGGAGGCATCCTTCATACTCAGCTGGAAGAGAGCCTTCCTCAGCTCAGTGAACGAGCCCTGGAGCTCTGCCTCCATTTCAGGTTTCTGTAAGGAAGCTAGAAAATTAGAAAAGAGAAGGAAATAAAACAAATGTCAAGCTCTGCCTGAGGGACCCTTTGCAATCTGTCCTGTTGAAAGAGTGTTTCCCAAACTCGTCTAATAAGACTCAACTGGGGAAAGTACAAAATACCATGTTCTCCAGCCCCTACCCGGAGATTGGAGTAAGGCCCAGAAATCTGTATTTTTTAGCAAGCACTAGGTGATTCTTATATTCAGGGAAGCTTGGGAAATATTAAAAACCAAAAACCTCGTTGGTGTTGAATCGATTGAGACTCATAGCGACCCTACAGGACAGAGTAGAACTGCCGCATAGAGTTTCAAAGGCTGTAATCTTCACAGAAGCAGGTGCTACATTTTTCTCCTGTGAAGCCGCTAGTGGGTTCGAACCTCTGACCTTTTGGTTAACAGCCAAGCGCTTAAGCACTGCGCCACCAGGGCTCCTCATTTGAGACATACAAACTGTATAAAGGTGTGTCATTGTAGTTAGCTGCCGTGGAGTCAGCCCCCAACTCATGGCAACTATTGCGGCTTGAATTGTGTCCCCAAAAATTATATGTTATAAATCCTAACCCCTATCTGTGGTTATAATTCCATTTTGGGAATGGCTTTTCTTTGTTATGTTAAAAGACCACATCAGTGTAGGGTGTCTTTGAAGATCATCACCTCTGAGACATAAAAAGAGTAGATTAGGCAGAGAGAAGCAAGCAGAGATGGGGGAAGATAGATGCCACACCACATGGAGATCACCAGGGAATCGAGGAACAATCACCCTCCCCCAGAGCCAACAGAGGGAAAGCCTTCCCCTAGAGCAGGCACCCTGAATTCAGACTCCTAGCCTCCTAAACTGTGAGAAAATAAATTTCTGTTTTTTAAAGCCACCCACTTGTGGATTTTCTGTTATAGCAGCACTAGATAACTAAAACAGCAACCCTATGCACAACAGGATTAGGCCGTTCTGATCCATAGGGTTTTCATTGGCTGAGTTTTTCAATTAGATTGCCAGGCCTTTCTTCCTACTGTCTTAATCTGGAAGTTTGGTGGAAACCTATTCAGCATCACAGCAACATGCAAGCCTCCACTGACAGACAAACGGTGGCTGTGCTTGAGATGCACTGGCTGGGAATTAAAGCCAGGTCTCTCACGTGGAAGGTGAGAATTCTATCACTGAACTACCACTGCCCTCGTATAAACGTATAGAGAATAATGTAACAAACATCTGTGTACCACCACCTCTGTTAAGAAAGAAAGCATTAAAATGTCCTTTATTTTAAATGATACTGATATGATCATAATAGGCAACAGTATTTTCTTTAATGTCCTTACTTTAAAAAATAGAAAATTGGTAACTCTTTTTTATTCCAAAATTTTCTTTGAAATTTTACTGTTATGTGAAATCCCCAAGCCCGAAAACCACAGGGAAGCACCGTTAGGAATAGTGTTATGTTATGTACCACTTGTGGAAGAGGAACTATTCAGACCTAGATCCACAGCAAACCATGCTTCTTGCTGTTCAGAGCAGCCAATCAGTACAGAATCTTCTATTTTTTGTGTGTCCTGTCCAAACTTATCCAAGAGCCTTTCCAACTCTAAGAAACAGAAAAAAAGGAGAAAAAGAAAAACATAGGGGTTTTAATTAAACCAAAACCCAACAACCAAACCAGCTGCCATTGAGTCAGTTCTGACGCATGGCAACCCCATGTGTATCACAGCAAAACTGTGCTTCGTATGGCTTTCAACAGCTGACTTTTTGGAATTGGATTCCCCTAAGCCTTTATTCAAAGGTGTCTCTGAGTTGACTCAAACCTCCAACCTTCTGGTTAGCAGCCAAGTACATCAACTATTTGCATCACCCAGGGTCTTCTTAATTAAATCACCACAGCCATATTAGACGTATGGGAGATCATCTACTTCAGCTTGAAGTCTGTATATCTGGCTTCCAGTCACTGCCCTGCAGGTAGTTAATTATATGACCTTCGTCTCATTGCTTAACTTCTCTAGGCCTCAGTTCCCTCATCAGCACTCTGAGGAGTTAAGAGCAAAGAAGGAATTCTTTCCAGGTGTGACACTGGAATGTAACATTCTGCCTATATCATGAAGGGAACATATTCCCTAATTTGTAAGATGTATGACAGTTAACACATTAAGGCACTGAAAAGAAATGTGTCTCATTTAAAATGATAGAGACCAATCCAGTTCTATAATTTAGCCTCCAGATCATGTTGCTCTGGCGGGCCACAGCAGAATACTCACGCGTGAGATTCCAGGCTGTATACAACAAATGCTGTATAGGGAGAAAATCTGTCTTCCTACACATGAGGCACTTATATTTATTTGTTCATAAAACAATATAATATTGCTAATTTTTTTTCTTTTTTTTATTGTGCTTTAAGTGAAAGTTTACAGTTCAAGTTAGTTTCTCATATAAAAATTTATATACACATTGCTATGTGACCCTAGCTGCTCTCCCTATAATGTGAAAGCACACTCCTCCTTTCCACCCCTGATCTCCCATATCCATTCAACCAGCTCCTGTCCCTTTCTGCCTTCTCATCTCACCTCCGGACAGGAGCTGTCCATTTAGTCTCATGTATCTACTTGAGCTAAGAAGCACTCTCTTCATGAGTATCATTTTATGTCCCATAGTCCAGTCTAATCTTTGTCTGAAGAGTTGGCTTCGGAAATGGTTTCAGTTCTGGACTAATGGAGAGTCCAGGTGCCATGGCTTCCAGGATCCCTCCAGTCTTAGTCAGACCATTAAGTCTGGTTTTTTTACTAGAATTTGAGTTCTGCACCCTACTCTTCTCCTGCTCCGTCAGGGACTCTCAAACATTGCTAACTTTTAAAATAATGTTCAATGCCTGCTCATGGAATCCTCATATTCTGCTGCACTGCTTGCTGTTGCTGTTGTTGTTAGGTGCTGTCAAGTTGGTTCCAACTCATAGCCACCCTATGTACAACAGAACAAAATACTGCCCCGTCCTGCGCCCTCCTCACCATTATTGCTATGTTTGAGCCCATTGTTGCAGCCAGTGTGTCAGTCCATCTCATTGAGGGTCTTCCTTTCTTCTCTGACCCTTACCAAGCATGACGTCCTTCTCCAGGGACTGATCCCTCCTGATAACATGTCCAAAGTAATGAGACGAAGTCTTGCCATCCTCACTTCCAAGGAGCACTCTGGCTGTACTTTTTCCAAGACAGATTTATTTGTTCTTCTGGAAGTCCACAGTATATTCATTATTCCTCACCAACACCATTAACTCAAAGGCATCAATTCTTCTTTGGTCTTCCTTATTCGTTACCAGCTTTCACATGCATACAAACTGATTGAAAATTTCACAGCTTAGGTCAGATGCATCTTAGTCCTCAAAGTGACATCTTTGTTTTCAACACTTTAAAGAGGTCTTTTGCAGCAGATTTGCCCAATGCAATGCATCTTTTGATTTCTTGACTGCTGCTTCCATGGGCGTTAATTGTGGATCCAAGTAAAATGAAATCCTCGACAACTTCAATCTTTTCTCCATTTATCA